ACTAATCGTCCTAAAATGAGCTAATGTCATTAGAAAATGCATATGTTCAGAAAGCCTGTTCTCCCGCAGCAATGGATTGTGGGTAATACACTTCATCCAAGTACGCATCGATGTGGACTTGGGTGAAGTGTGAATCAAGGGTGCAAAAGGGGCGTGATCAACTTCCGCAATTGAGAATCGGGACATCCTACGCACTCACACCCCTGGTCGGGATCGCACAGTTGAAGGGCACAAGGGTGGAAGTGCGAGTATTGGGATTGGGCCTCAGACTGCTAATGGCTGATTAAAATTCTATGTAGTGCGTAGTTTTAACCCAAATGGGGTGCCACACTGTCAGCAGAATATTAAAATTTTAGATAAGATGCACTAAAATGCCAAAATAATGACTATATAAGTAAAATAAAAATAAAATAATGACAGGTCAGTCATTGATACAGTTTATTGGCTAACAACAGTTGTTTTGGGGGGTTACTGTCTTTAAGTTAATCTGATTCAAGATGGTCGCCACAGGTTAATCAACATAAGCAGACACATAAATGTCAACAATTCAGTCGTTTTTAAAGATATGGAGTGACATTTATTTGTACCAGATACTTTAAGCGCTGCATAATTTTCCACGTTTATGCTTAAAACTTTTGCCCCCATTTGTTGGAGTTAACATTGTTTATCTGAAAGCTAAATTCTTCAAAAGACACTGAAAGTAAATTGATAGTTGTCTCAGAAAGTAAATGGTGAATGCACATCTATAATTTATTAATATTTCAGGTCCATCCATTTTAAGGTTGGCTAAAACTTGGTCACTTCTATAGATTTTGTGCTACTGTTTTGCAGTGCAGTGGTTGAGTCAAACCCAACAGATACTCCAGTTAAGACTGATCTCACAAGATTTTTGTAAGCTTAAATCTTTTAGTTCTTTTTAAAAGACAAAAAGGTTTTATTTACCTGCAACGTTTCGTTTGCGGCTGCCAACTTCGAAGTTTGCAGCCGCAAACGAAACGTCGCAGGTAAATAAAACCTTTCTGTGTTTTAAAAAGAACTAAAAGATGGAATTAGAATTTTAACACAGCAAGAACACACCAAAGATTTTTGTAAGCTTGATGCTATAGAGCTCCGGACCCCACGTGACTCTCAGTTAGTAGACGCCATATTGGCAGGTAAAAGAAGCTAAACAAACACGGATCTTAACCATGAACGTGAACGGGATCAGCTTGGATTTTACTTCGTCGGAGTTTACTTCACACTTTAAAACCGAAGAAATCGTTTTATATAGTCAGAAATTAAATAGACTAAACATCTCCGACCCTTACCGTGCCCCTGGGATACTTTTTAAAAACGCCAGAAGCTGTCGGAGCGGACTTCTTACTGGACCTGGCCAGGGAACCCCTTGGGATTCCCCCGGAGGAGCACCGGGCTCAGGCGGCTGGGGAGAGGGAAGTCTGGGACTCTCGACGCAACTGCCCCCGTAACCCGACTCCGGATAAGCGGATGAAAATGGATGGATGGATGGACAAACTACAGATTTACACGTAAGTAGTTTAAATAGAGTGCTGTGCTGTTTGAATGTATAAACTGAACACCGAGAGAAATCACTAGTTTGATTTTTTTTTCCGTGAATAAAATAAATATGTCAGGCAGGAGCGTCTCAGGATCTGTCTGAGATCTGTCTCAATGAGACAGATAATAGCAATCCAAAGTGCTTTTTATGTGTGATCTGACAATTGATCAACCATTGCTTAAAAATTAAATACAGCTTAGCCGGTTAACTGCTGTGATCATAAAACACGGAAACGGCAGCACGCAGAACTCACGAGGCAACGTTTTACGTGATGTTTACTTGCTGCTATGAGTAATAAGACAGAAAAAGCCACGCCAAAATAAGTTTAGGAAGCCCACTAAGAATCGTAATAAAAGCATTTAAAATAAACACCATACACAGTTGAGGAAACGTTGGTTTAAGTACCTGATATGAAGCGGTCGCTGCATAAGTGAAAACCTTTACTCTCGGGATCCCACAGCTTCATTTTAGCCCGGTCACTAGCGCGTTTTATTACAATGATCCAACGTTTGCGGCGCTCCAGATCTTGGGGAATCCTGTAGTTGGCTCATTCCTTATGTCGTCCGCGTCTGTTCTGCATCCTGGGGCACAACAGGAATCTACCATATTTCCTGTCTGATTGAGTTTTCTGACAATAACAAATAGTCCAGCTGCCGGCTTCTACCTGCCAATATGGCGCCATTTCGATTTGAACTGTTGCATGCCGGGAGAAGTGACGTCAACTCCCGGAGCGCTATTGTCAAGACTTGATCCAAATGATGGCATTATCATTTCTCAACTTAACTTTATCATAGTTTAAGACTTTAACTTTCCCAACAAGAGGGATAGAACTGAAAAGCTGGAGGAGCAGCGGCTCTACTCCAAGCCCTTACTTGATACACAAGCACCTCACCTCAAAGCAGCCAATCAGATAGTTGGGTGGGTTTTGCCATCTCCATCTTGTTTCCTTAAAATGACAGAGCCCTGAAACGGCTCATTTTGGAAGGTACTGAAAATGTCAAGAATAGCACTGGTGAGATTGCTTAATGTGAGAGGGGTGTAGTGCAAAGATCTACTAAACTGTTTTAAAAAGAGGTATTAAATGTTTCTTTGACTCTGGCATGTGTGGTTATGGGCGATTTACATTCCTAAGAAAAATTCTTGGCATTTTTTAAACTTTTTCTCTGCATTTCAGAGAAAGTTGACAGAGAAACCCTTTTAGGTCATTGTGATTGTAGCATTTTATGTCATAACACTTGAAACAGATTTTCTGGCATTGAGGGTGCCCCAAAAATAAAACAATTTCATGCATTTTTTTTGTTGTTAAATTTAGAAAAATTCCACCCATTACCTGCACATTTAACTGGTATCTTCGTCCTTTCTAACTTGTGCATTTTCATGTAAGATTTGGAAATCTATCATTTTAATAAAGCTTCCTGCAATAGATACACTGCAAAAACTGATTTCTGAGAAAGAGACAACATTTTAAACATTTAATTTGTAGTCTAAAGAAATGCTTCTCTAGAAAATAGCATTACTTGAAGTAAGGTAAATATGATGTAAGGTAAGTATGTTCTGAGTAATAAAATTCTGCCAACAGGGTATGCATGGCTAGAACTCCTAGAGCAAGCAAAATAATCAAATTTCGGATTTATTATCTAGTTTTCTTAATTTTAGCCGAGCATCTTCGACGTACCTTATTGGCAGATTTGGATCACGAGATTTTTTTTTACAGTAGAAATAAGAGAAAATGTCTCAAGCCCAAATCACACTGCGATGTTTGATCGTCGCACAGGATTGCTCATGTGACACTGTGAGAACTCCAGAAAGGTGGCACAATGTAAGACGTAAGATTTCTGTGAGGCAGAATGTATGACGTCTCTCTCCAGCTGGACACGCTACGTCATGAGCGCACCTCCCGAAAGCATGCGTCACCAAGCCAACCGCTGAGCAAAACACAGCTGAAAAGATGAAAACACTTGTTTTTAGTGTCAGTTCACGACCCAACTCATCTTCCTCAGAGAGGAGGCTTTGGTTTTAAAATCCTCACTTTGACGTCAGACTCCGGTTGCGGGTCTCCTTTTCCCGTCTTCCAGCTAAACAGCTAATCTGTCTGCTGGACGTTCATCCTTCTCATCCTTCTTTATTAACCCACTAAACTACAGAGAAGTGCCAATCTGTCACAGATTGCTGCAATATCTATACTTTTGCCGTGAATGAATGCATGTGACAGCTCACACCCGCTGTCACGGAGCTTCCTCAGTCCCTCTGCAGCAAAACGCAACCGAATCGTCCTTTTCAGTTGAATATGTGAAATTTCCTCCAACAGCAAAGGGATCTCATGTTTTTGTGTGTTATTTTTTATGTTCGTGAGCTCATTTCCTCTCATGCATCACAAAATCACGGTTTTCTCAATTCAGCTGGTGCTCTAAAAACGTAGTTGAATTTTTTACAGTATGTAACCTGGACTTTTAACAAAAATACAAACTGGTGTGTAGTTTGTAATCCGCATTTTAAACAAATTGATACAGAAGCGCATAGAGGCGGAGTCTTGCTGCTACGGCGTCCCAAAGGTGTGTTTTCATTGGTCGGTTGCAGACAGGAGTTTTGGAGGCTGCCTTTGGTCGTGAGACGGATCTAAAAGCTGTTGCAGAGCCGATCAGACTGGGTGACTACAGATCAGCAAATCAACTTTTTTTTTTTACTCGATTATGCTTCCAACGAGGGACCCGGCTAAGGCGGCCGTAAATCGCACAGTGTGATCCGGGCTTAAGAACGAGGCTTTTTTACTTATTTAGAAATCATTTTTTACAGTGTACAGAGCTATATCGAAGCGTTTTATTTCCAGCATGAACTTTCCTTTAAAACTCCCAAGTTCTCCTAACATTTAGCATCATTTAAAATATGTTCATGGTTTAAGCTGTGTGTGGAAGGATGGGTCCTGTCTTTGTGGGTCCAGTGTTGATGCTTTTTAACTTATTGCATCTAAACGCATGCTAATCTGCCCTTGTAGGGATTTGTGGAGCTTGTATTTTCTATATCAGGATGATTTCTTGGCAGATTTATGAAACATAAATATTCTGTAGCTGGATGAACCACCGAGTGACCTATTTAAATTGTATGTATTTTTTATAAATATGCTTAGAGTTGTATGTATTGTGTGTCAAAGTAAAGCCATAATCTCTCGTAAGAGCACATTTGTAAACTCAAAACTGTACCCTGGAAGACGAGTACATCCTTTTAAGGCATGTGGACGTAGCTCCTCTAAAAAAAAAGTCATGTTTGCTTACTTTCTGACAGCAAGTGCGTAGAGTAATGAATCTGCTGAGGTTTATGAGCTGAGAGCTGAGCCGTCTGAGGCAAGGAGATGGCATAAAAAAAAGGATTCTAGTCCTCATTAATAAACAATTTCATCTCCTATCCGTTCCCCCGCGTTTCATAACGTTCATTACAGTTCGGACCGGTTTTGATGTGGATGTTTGCAAGCCAGAGAGCCGAGGAGGTGGCTATGGTAGTGAGAACATGATCATCACACACAAAATGACACGAGCAGGGAGAGGTTCAGGAACATTCTATGCAAAAGGATGAAAACGGTAAGTGGAGAACTGTAACTTTAGTAAAAGGAAACATGAAACCAGGCAGACGTAGAGAGGGAAACATACGGAATGTGCTGTTGAGCAAGAACTGAGCACAACGCATGCGAATCGCACATCCCGTGTACCAGAACACGGGTAGAACAGCTGAACACTCAGAAACGCCGACACATGAACACAACCACATGTTGAAAATTTAGACGAGGAGAACAATGAGCTCCTGGCTGTGAGACGTGTAAACAAGGCGGCAGCCGGGTTCACGCGACCAGAGGTCAACCGCTGCCTTCATGTCCGATTTGTCACACACTTAGTCATAATCTCACACGCATGTAAACAATTAATAATGAGACATTGGAGGACGTCGAGGGAAAGGCGGTGACGTGGGCCTGACGAGGCTGCGGTCTGTCATTCAAAACTTGATGGCAGGCTGCTGGGAAGGAGGCAGATTTATAATTGTTTTCTTTCCTCTGTGTTCTGGATGATTAAAGCAAGATATTTCCTGTTTTCAAGAGGGCAAAATAAAGTTTAAGACTTAATGTTTTACGGTCATTTTGATGTTTATGTGTGTTTTACTGATTGTGCAAACCAGAGGGCTGTTTAGTACGAACATGACAGGAAAGATGTCACAAGGGAGCAATATAATAAAAACAAATGACTACAAAAAGGATAAAATCAAGATTAGTCATCAACATTGTAGAAAACTCAAAGAGATGCGCACCAAAAAGGCCTCATCTCTTTATCGGACCAGCGTCGTGTTGATTCGCCTTTGGTCTTACCCCGTTCCTTTGATTTATTACGCCATTGGTCTAATCTAACAGGAAAACCCAATCCAGATGTAGGATTATGAGGTGGAAGTGTGTTGTAATTCTCCCAATCTCTAAATCACCTCAAGGCACAATTCTAAATGCACAAAAGCTGCTAAGGAGAGGAGCGGTCGTCACAGGTCGCCGATCAGCCAACCTGGCAGTGATTTACACTGTAGCTAAAGGACAAATACCTGCAGATTGAGTCACATTGGATTAGGAGTGTGATCTCGTGTGTGCGTACAGGTGTTGGGATGTTAGTCGTTAGTGCTCCAACGTTGCAAATAAACCTCAGGTTGGAGAGAAACCCCAGTGTGATTCCTATTAAGTTGTATGTAACAAAAGGGTCATGCACTAGAAGGATGAAGATGTTTTCATTCCTGCTACTTATCTGTGATGTAACACAGATATGGATCATAGTGGACTCTTATGTAAGATGATGGAGTTGGTCGCTGATTTGGCCAAAAGATCACAGGAGTCTGTCACTTCAAGTTAGAGCCCATGGTCCGAGCTCACTAAATACTCCATCTGGTTTCCCCTCTGATTTATTTATAAAGTTTTTCCTAGAAGGGGTGATAAATCATTTTATTGTCACATTTCTTTAAGGGTTTATTTTTCTAAACTTCATGATGTATTAATTAGTTCATTTGTGTTTTTGTGGAGAGCTGTGAAATCCAAAGTAGAAACACTTGCCTTTTGTGTCAAATTTGGCACATTAAATAGAAATATGGTTCTTGGAGGTGGTTGGGTTACAATTCACAATCCCGGACGAACCCCCAAAAATGTTGTTGTCCATCAGTGCTGTGCAATTACTCTAATTTGTATTTAAAATTTGATTTTAGCCCTTAACATCTACCAAAATTGTGTAATCAACAAAAAACAATAATTAATAATATAATCTCAGATTCTGCTTAATAAAACAAGTAAACTATGTTAGACAAGACAGCCAAAACCGAAAAATACACAACTAATACAACGAAATATGTTGATGAATGAATTGAAAATTATGCAGCATTTCTGCTGGATTGTTTTAACGCTCTGATGGAAACGCTGCTCTATTAGTTGCATAACAGCTGGCTGATGACAGGAGTACGAATCAAGATCACATTTAGTTTGTTCATATGGGCTTAATAGGACCTTGACTTCCCCGTGGTTCCTGAGTACTAATGTCATTAGTCGTTGAGTAGACGTAATGTTTTCCCAGAGTTCACTCCTATTTTAATGTTGGATGCTTAGTGTTTATATATGTGTGAAGGCTTCATAAAAAGGGGGATCCCTTCCTCCTGCACTTATGTCACCTATGAATAAATCATCTTATCTGAAAGCCATCGTAAAAACAAAGAAAATTCTGATATAAAGCAACCTTCTGGGTTTGCTTTGTTCGGGAAAGCATTTAGTGATGACGTCTCCTGTCTCTTTTTCTAATTTTAAGAAGTGATGTCTCAGTGACATTTGTGGAAATCCACTTCTCTACAGAAACTGATATCCTGCTTCAGACTTCCTGCTTTAAGCTCTCTGCTCACTGTCAAATGCTTGCGTCATCTTTATTATCTGTAATAACTCCAGCACCAAAGTTCTACGTGAAAGACTGGAAATCCACTGATTGAGGCTTTTAGGAAAACAAGGAGTAAAAACACATGAACACACACATTTAGGGTAATCACCATAAGAAGTGAGGGTATTAATGCCAAAGTAAACAAATTACACATCCCACTAGAGTGAGTCATTAGAGACACGCCATACAATGGGTCATATGGTCTAGTAAGAACCCTGTCAATCAAAGTTAGAAAATGATATGTACTTTTTATTTTTTACTGACATTGATTTGATGTCATTTAGCATCTCAAATGATTCTCCTTAATCATGGTTATATCAGCACAACCAGCTGCTGTTTGGACTGCGGTACAAGCAAAGTGGGAATGTTACTCTGACAGAGACCTCCTTCACCAGCAACATTCCTAAGGAATCAAGATTCTACCACTTTCTTTCCCATGCTTTTGATTTGTTGAGGGAAGTTTTACAGCAGGTTGACAGGGCTTGTCTTCAGAGGTCTGTATAGACTTCCCAGCACGAGAGAACCCAGTGTGGTGCAAGGTTCAATGTTCTTGCTAGTTGGTGTGGAATGTTTAGTGGGTGAGGGCAGTACACTTTGAAAAGCGTATGCCACAGAGCAGAAATAGCTAATGCTGTTCAGATAGGTAGGCTGGTTTGACAGTAAAGTGGCCAATCTGGGTTTTATGGATGTATCTTGCAACCCGATGAACTGGAAAACAGTCTAGATCCAGGTCCAGGGCGCTGCTTTCTTTTTGACATGTTTATTAGTTTTGCCCACATCTGGTAATGACACACAAGGAGTCAAAGTAAGCAATTCTGATTTATCACTTTAAAAGGATATGACTGCATATTGTTTCATGTTCCCTGTCCTCATTAGCACTCCGGTAGTTTAGGTTTCAAACTCTAAGTGATCCAGAGATCACCGCTCCTGGTGATGTGAGAAAAACATAATCCCAGTATACAGGTAACGTTGAGTGAAAGGTCATCAGGTGCATCTTTGTTACCCAATGATTTCAAGTGGAACCCCTTGGAAGAAAGCTAACATTGTTTTATTCTTTAGGAATAACCACATTTGTTGGATTCTCGCTTACTGTCATCAGCACAAACCTGCACAGACGTGATTACTGACTAAATAAATGCACATACACTCTGTGCTGGCACAAACCGGCCCTTTGTAGTACAACAAAAAAAGGCCCTCGAGTGATCTTTTGGTGCTTCACTGGCTCACAGTTGAATTTCAAATTGACTTTGGACAGCAGGTGTTTGAGAGGCGCCAACTTTAGCACTTTGTCATGAGAATTGCCAACATGGCTCAAAAAGAACACAAGCAGCAACATTCTTTACCTTCTCAGCTGTGTGCGCGGGTGCATGCACGTGTGTGTGTGTGTGTGTGTGTGTGTGTGTGTGTGTGTGTGTGTGTGTGTGTGTGTGTGTGTGTGTGTGTGTGTGTGTGTTAGAGTGTACAAAGTGAAAATGCTCAGTGTACAGCAGTTTCTTGGAAGGGGTGGACTTTCGGCCAGCTATTTCAATATGATTCTTAGTGTAATCAACTCTGGTTTGCAGTCTGGGGAAGTTCTGAAGAGTCTGAATCGAGCTGTAATCAAACCCCTTCTTAAGAAATCCGGTCTTGATGTCTTGGTATTATCCAATTATCGACCCATTTCTACGCTGCCATTTCTTTCTAAGGTTCTTGAGAAAGTAGTTTTTAAGCAATTGTCTGCCCATCTAGGTAATAACCAAATTTTAGAAATTTTTCAATAAGTTTTAGAGCAAAGCATAGTACTGAAACTGCGCTTGTGAGAGTGTTAATTATACTGATGCGGGTGACAGTCTTTATTATTACTCTTAGATCTGATTACTGCTTTTGATACTCTTGATCAAGTTATACTTCTCGATCGACTGGAGAAGTTTGTTGGTCTCTCTGGTTCAGCTCCCTCCTGGATGAATTCCTACCTGTCTGACAGGTACGTGACTGTTAAGAGTGGTCGCTTCTGTTCGAGTGATGCTCCGCTGAAATATGGGGTCCCACAGGGCGCTGTACTTGGTACTCTCTTTTTTAATTTATATTTGCTCCCACGTGTGGCCATATTTAGGAAATATGAGCTTGACTTTCATTTCTCTGCTAATGACTGTCATGTCTACGCTCCTACTAAAGCTAAGGAAGTAGCTCCAATGTGTCGTTAATGATTGGATGGGTTGTAATTTTCTGCAGATTGACAATCCTAAAACTGCGTTGGCACCAAGTGGTGCTCCTGTAGTTACTCAGTCGTTGATGAGTGGCTTCTCATGATGCAAAGTTGTCTAATTTGGTGTTAGAAAGATAGATTCACAGCTTAATTTTAATGTTCACGTCGATAATTTTGTTGGAGTATGCTTTTTTTCACCTAAGGAATCTTTATAAGGTTTGATTAGGAATGATTTTGAGAAGCTTATCCATGAATTTATAACATCTCGTTTAGACTACTGCAATAGTCTTTACTAGGAGTTGTATGAACTAGTCGACTTCACTGCTCTGTAGTGACTTTTTATGCCTGTCATCGACTAGTCGCTGTCACGATAATGACCGACAAGATGCAGTCCCCGGAAAAGACAGCAGGTGATGAGCCCCTGCGCGTCGGGAGGCGACGCACTGTGCCAGAGCGTCGGTAGCTGACACTCGCTGTAAAACGGACATTTAACCAAATTGTGACCTTTACCCTCTTGCAATTTAACCTTCCCCTCACCCCCATCCTAATCTTAACCAGCTTGCGCATGCAAAGTTCTGATCTTTGACACGCTCCAGACATTTGCGTCCTGAGTATGGTCACAGTAACATTATCAAATTAGGTGTTGCCACCTCCAGAACAAATTTAACACGCGATCGTTCATGTCGGCTTATTTCCTTTTATGTTTTCTGTCTTTTATTTGTACCTGATGCATTTCACTGCTGTGGAGCGGAGCGCATCACCTGTTTTGTCCTCCGGTGACGCACCTAACTGATGCGGCCGGCGAGCAGCGCGCACTCCGCTGTTTTTGCAGTTAGTACATCTTTTAGAACTGCAGTTCAAAGGTAACTCATAAGGTGAAGATGTATGAAGCCAGGTAACAGTTTTTCTTTAGGATTGAGAGACAGGACAGAAAAATTGTCAAACAAAAACAAGTTTGTTTTGTACCTGCTGGTTGCAACAAACAGACACCATTGAAGGTAATCAGAAGTGAGGAACAGAAAATTAAATAATTATTTTAATGTTTAGAGCAGCAGGAACTCTGAGAGGCTGCAGGCGCATCAGCGAGTTTGCGGCCGCTGCGCAGGGGGAGGGGGGAGAGGGCTGAAGCAAGATGCAGAAACTACCGTTGTTAAAAGAAATGTTTAACTTTGAAAATGTGGGCACAATTTTAATTGTCAAAAACTCCAGCGAATCAACCGACCCCCCACCCCACCCCGCGCGCCGCTTCAGGTGTATGACGTCATCAATGACTAGTCAAAGTCGACTCGATTTTCATTACTTGACTGCCAACTTTAAAAAAATTAAGTTATGCAGCCCCTAGACTTTACTTGGGTGTTAATCATGGATGTACTGCTAGGCTGCAGCTAGTTCAAAATGATGCAGCCCATCTTTTGACTGGCACATGTCGTATTGATCACATCACTCAAGTTCTTGCCTCTCTGCATTGGATCCCAGTTAAATTCCATGTGCAATTTAAGATTTTGGTTTGGGCCTACAAATGTTTAAATGGCCTTGCTCCTATCTTTGAATCTGAACTTCTCGTGCCATATGTCCTGTCTCGTGGATTAAGGTTGGCTGACCAGCGGTTCGTTAAACCATCCTGCAATATAACAGCACAATGCATGCACACCTCTGCCGTTCCTACCCCTCCCGGTCCGACGGCCAACTGAGAGGGGTAACTTTAAATCCCAAGGACTAAGTTCAGTTAGTCTTCTGTTAAGGACTACACAGTTATTGAGGTTGAGTCAGACTAGCTAAGTGAGCATTACCATTTTACTTTACTTAAGAATTTAAAAAGAGTGAAGCCCCACAGTCTAATTTCTATGTAGAAGTTAAAGCGACTTTGTTAAAAATGACAAAAGTTTGTGATTGGAAGGTGGCAAGCAAGCAGATGTTTGAATCATTTATGTTGTAGAGCCTGAGTGTCCACACTTTCGTTCACATCCATAAAAGAGGATTTGCTTTTCAACAATGGAAGAAGATGGTTGTAACATTTCCACAGGGTGCTAAGGCCTGAGACATCATCCTGTCACGTCAGTGGAATTCCTAGGAAGAACGAACACAAGAAAAGGGTTCAGATTCAGGCACACAGAGAGAGGGAGAACTGCAACAGTTGATATATAAAAGGATAAGTCGGTCTAGTAAGTAAATGGTGAGATGTGTGACAGCATTATTTGATTCCCACAATTGTTTACCTCTTTGTGGGAAAAGTAACTCAACCAGTGACTTCTGTGCCTCTCGATACCATGGCCGAGGTCAAAGTGAACTTCCTATACCCATACTGTTAAGTATGTAGCACACTGGCTAAAAAAACGGTTTGGACTTCCCGAGGTCAATGGTCGAAGGTCAACCAACTCTCTTGCATAATCATCTACAGATTCTCTTCTACTCTCAAAATAAACTCTCCAAACATTTAGCTGTCTCCATGGCAACGTGTGCCGACACATACAGTCACACATACTTTCCAGGTACCGTTTTTAAGAGCATGCTACCAAGGCTACCTCAGCACGCTCTGAAAGCTGTGAGTTTTACAGGAATCTATCTCAATGAGGACTTTTGACAAAAAACCAAAGCTGTTGATAGAAGATAGACGGAGGAATGACTCAACCGAAACTGTAAATGGATGTTTCATTATGCCAGATACTGTAATTTTATTCAGGAAAGTTTATAATGTGTGTATGTGTACTGTTTTGCTAAATCTAGAAGCATTATTTGGGTTCTTGTCTTTTAATGTGAAGAACTTTAAGGTTTAAATTCCAGAAAATGTCTGACAAATTAAAGACTTTGTTAAATTTACAACAAGACTTTGTTAAATTTACAACAAAATGATCCAGTTGTGATTTAGCAGACCATAAAAAAAGGTGGTGGTAATAATTTAAGGTGAAGTCTTTGACACAGAATAAGGACAGTGCAAAAATAAATGTGAATTTCCCAGAACTCTTAAAGAGTTGGCAGAGTTGGAAATGTATTCTCTCTAACTTTACTCATAAAAACATTCTTGAAATTGCTTTTAAAGAAGACTTTGATACTTTTTCTTAGATACTGGCAATTTTGTTAGGTACTCAAATAAAAAATTTTATGTGTGATCTTTTTTTTTTCAATCTTTGATTTTGAAGCACATATCTGAATTTTGACCTTGGAGGTGTGGGTGCTCCAAGGACCCCAGTGGGTATGCTGCTTGGAGCCGATTTCCCCCTGCAATGGTAAACTGGTTTCAGATGAGAGGCCTGACTAAGAAGCTCTTGAGCTGACTGCAAAAGCTAATGACCAACATGCTGCACCTGGACTTAAGATGCTGAGACCTCATCCTGAAACCTAGTGGCCCAGCTTCTATGAATGAAGTCCACACTGGACCACTTTCTTGGGATTTTACCACTTACAAGAAGCAATGTAAGGGACAGGGGCCTCATTTATCAAGCTTGCTTACACACAAAACAGGGTCAGAAAACTGCGTATGCAACTTTCGACGCAAAAAATGCGATTTATGAAAGAGAACTTAGCTGAAAAATGTGCGCAACTTTAAGTTGACTTAGGACCTGGCTTACGCACATGTTGGACATGGAGAGCACCTGCAGTGCTGCTGCTGAGAAGGATAAAATTATGAAATCCTGCAGCATTATTACTTGTACTGCTTCGTTTTCACACAGAACAAGACCCCCTACTCACACACATGCACGCGTACACACACATGCGCGCGCACGCACACACACACACACAGCCTGAAGCACAGAATACGGAATGCAGAATATCAGCAGGGTGACAGATTGAGACAGAATGTCATGCGTCTGTGACAGTGTGTGTCCTGTCACTGTGACCCGATTGATCATGCGCCCTGGCTAGTTGGACAGGGGAGATCTCTGTTTGGCTGACTGGTTAGCACGCGTGACTTTCACCTGGGAGTCTGGGGATCTAATTCTGATCGGACCATTTTTTATATCTGCCAAAGATCTCTCTGAAGAATTCACAACATTGACGGCTTCAGCAACGCTGTGCCACTCCGTGGATTTTCTCTTATTTGTTTTGCAAAAGCACTTCCTTTCATTTCTCCACCTCACCCACAGGTATCTCAATTTCTGCTTCTGTGAAATTGCGCTTCCTTGATCTGCCTTGATCTACGGTCGCCATGTCATTGGCGGAGCGCAGCAACAGCTGGCTTATGTATATGCATGAGATCCACAAGGCACTTTGAACTGACTATTTATGGCAGTAAGTGGGCGTGGTGAGGGCGGGATGTGACAAAAATGCAGCTGAGAAACATTCTCGTTAGTCTCCGATTTATGAAGCGGAGATTGCGTGCAGCTGTGCGCACTCTATGTTTGATAGATCACAAACCTAATTGGCTTAAGTACTTTTATTTATTTTTTTGCTGAGCTTAAGTACAGTTTTAGTAAGGATTCTACGCAATGTTTGATAAATGAGACCCCAGGTGCTTTGTGAATTAGACTACAGTCAGAGGGAGAGATCCTGGCGGTCTGATTGTTGGTGCTTGAAACCGGCTTCAAGGAGATGGATCCTTTTTTCACTGGTGCCAAAAAGACCCAGGAGATACCAATTAGATACATTGCCTTCAAGCCACAGATCTGGAACCAGTGACTGGAGTCACCCTCGGTAACAGAAGGCAAGTTTTCACCTGTAGAGGAGAGGTTGTGTTTGCTGGTGTTCAAAGGCAAGTCCTAAATGTGGATCTACAGCCAGATGACTTCCATCTGTCCATTTACCACTGCGTATCCAAGGTCCAGTTCCTCATGAGGGATTCCAGAGCATTTCCAGGTCATAGAGGATATAAAATCCTTTCCAGTCAGTTCCAGGTCTACCCCGTGTTTTCTACCAGAAAGGCATATCTAGAAAACCAGAAAAGAAGTGTAAGCAGAAGTCATCCTTATCAAGTGTCCACAACACCTTAGTTTATTTCTTCCAGTACAGAAAAGCAGCAGATGCACTAAGAAATAATGTGAGGAACTCTTTAATTTGGAAGATTTCTGAGACTGTTCCAGTCCACTCTACTGAGGAACCTCCTTGCTGGTCCGATTTGTGATCTGGTTGTTTTAGATGGTAAATGGCCTATATTTGCTATAACACCTTCTAGATTCCTGGAACCCCCCAAGGCTCTTTACAACTGAATCAGCCATTCACCCATTCACACACACACACATTCACACCCTGGTGGGGATGAGCTACAATCTAGCCACAGCTGCCCTGGGGTGCACTGACAAAGGTGAGGCTGCTGAGCACTGGCGCCACCGGTAGATCATTGGTGACTGTAGACAAACCAGTAAAACCCTTAACCAGTACAAACTGGAGCAAAGACCCAAACCATTCATGTCTGGCTTCAGTCTAGCATCACTCACTAACACCAGGACACCTAAACTCTTCCCCTTGAAAACCTCAGAAGACTCGCCCCAACAACCTGTTCACATATATCTAATCCACACCAAGTAAGTTTTAAAGCCTGGGTTTTCCTATTGTCGAGCAACGTCGCACACAAGTGTCTAAAGCCTCAAACACCTTCTGTGTCTCAGAGAAGAGAAGAAAGGTTAAAGCGCCACAGCCCAGGTTGGGAGCTGCTGGGAAGTTGTACGGACAGACGCTTGTCAAACATGTTGGCGCTACTGTTCCTTCACACATACGTCTCTTCCTGTCCATCAGTAAGGACGTTGGAAATGTAAAGAAGGGAGGTGCTGCTGTTTTCATGGTTACGGGAATAAGCCAATGTCAAAACATTCAACCACCGAATGCCACATTCTGCCTACTTTCAGCTGTTGCATTTTGTGGAATTTGCACAGTCTGTCATTGTTTAAGTCTGCTGACTTTTTTCTCCTAGATTTCCAGGAATCCATAATAAGACGACAAAATAATAGTTTTATATTCCCGTCTTTGGCTCTTCTGCTAGTTAATCCTTTATGGGTTTTTTTTATACTGCTCACTGTGTTAGACTGTCTTTGTTAAAAGCAGAGATGATAACCTCCTCGGAACTGTAAAAATCCAACTCATGACAAAAAAATCTGTTTTCAATTTGTCTAGGTGATACACAATCTACATAATACAGTCTAACTCAAAATAAGATCCAAACCCAAAGCCTCTTTTCTCTCTGCATCCACTAACAACAAGCTCTCATTACTTGAACTATCTGCCTCCGGTAAATGTAACTTGATACTTCAAGACTTTAAGTGTCTGTCAGCTCCTCTCTGGATTTAACTGAACCTGTGAGCACAGGGACTGTACGCTAGCTCAGACCTGTTTATCCAGTGAAACCTGGCCTCAAGTTTTCTAATCAACAGCGAAAGCTAGCAAATACAGCTTTTGTTGTTTAGCTACTTTTCTGGCCACAACGTGGATATTTATCTCATTTGTTTAAATTGAGAGTTGGGATTTCTAGGCTTTCAGTTTAGGAAAACTTTGCCAACTTCAGACGATGCTAAACCAGTTCCATTTGTTAATGTAGTGCCACAACTAAAGTGTTTGCAGTCTAGGCTAAGTTCAACTTACACACTGAAAAAACTGTTTTTTTCCCACTACAAAGTTAGAAATGCCTTGAGTAGAAAAATCTTGCCTGGGGTAAGTGTTAGTAGCTTGGCTAGAATTCTTAAAACTAGCAAATAAACACAACGTTTGATTGTTTTGCTAGTTTTAAAGCTCAAGTTCTCTAAAATACTGTTTTTATTTGTTATTTTTGAAATATGATCAGCTACTCTAAGTTAAACATTCAGGCTAAACGTGAAAATAGTCTTCTACCCTAAATGTGAAAATAGTCTTCTGCCCTTATTTCCTGCATTAGCCGCTGATAGAAAATGGATGGGGAAACATTCAAATAAGAAAAGCCTGACAGTGGCAGGTCAGTGTCAAACTAGCATTCACGGACTCACCCATCTTGGCTCGCAACGGGGAAGGATGTGTTTATTTAGCGTCCAAATGAAAGCAGAGCACATCTTGGCTAGTAGAAGCTAACTCTAGCATTGGCAACTCAACCACACAGCAGAAGTTCCTCCAGCTTTGTATCATTTGTGGAGATAAAACATCAGCGTTGCAAAGCAAATAGGGAGCCTACGTCTTTTCCCTTTTGGTCAGTTCATGGTCCCCCGAAGAACGAAAAAAATGAATACAAGTCAACGGGGCTAAAATAACCATTTTGTAATCCACTTTGTCTTATGCCCTGAATCACACATATGTTAAACTTCTATTTAAATTAAAAATAATGAAGTGTGTTTTGGCCATGTCAGTCATGTACTTTGAGATTTATCAGCTTGTAAAAGTTCTTAATTAGCATGACTACAAATCAGACATCAGCACGTCAGCATATGACTTCACCACATAATCTCTTCTCCCCTAGCGTAGCTGCTACTTACCACACGGCCATATTCATGGTGGTTCTTTCGTCCTAAAGGAAAGATTTGAAGTTTGCTGAACTTACAGCCATTTTCCGTCTGCCTTTTTCCGTGCCTAGTTCAATGACGTCATTTTCGTGAAGCGCATTTGTAGTCTTAGACGTATTTTCTTACATAACCCAAAATAGCATTTGCCCCCCGTTTCAAAATAAGCACGTTCTTGGTGTCAAAATGCATCTTTAAAATTCACTAACATCATATGGGAAATCCCATAACAAATGGGATTAGAAAACAGCATTATTAGCCCATCAACATATAAAAATAAGGATATAGCCCACCCAAGTTGAAGCCAAAAATGGGAGCCCAGACAGTCCAAAAATGGGAAAAGAGGTGGAGCTGAGGGTGGGGCTGTTACGTTTGGAACAGGGTTGGAACAAATGAAACCAATCTAGCTACTAGCTAACTGAGCTTACCCAAGAAGCTAAGACAGGCACCAGAGACAGCAGGGTAGCCCACCCGCATGGCCAACCAACTTCAATGCGAGGCTGTAGTCATTCTGGTCGCCTGTGGCGATTTAATATGGACTGGGACTGTTAAATTACAAGCAGACAGCTGCGACCGGGAGCCCTGGCCTTCCAGATCAGCTCCTTCTCCACGGGCGGATATCAGTGGGACATTGGCTACATTCTAACACGGTAAAACGTCTCCAGCATCGTCGCTCTACCGCATTTGTCTTGCTCAAGTTGCCCGGAAAAACTCTGTTAGCTTTAGGTTAGCATGTAGCTAATGTCCCACTGATCTCCAACTGTGAAGAAAGAGCTGATCTGAAAGGCCAGGGCTCCCGGTCACGTCATTTGCAATCATAGTATGTCCAAGGAAGGTCCTATCTTTCTTGCCTCTGGATATTATAGTGCTAAGTTCATATTTTCTTTACAAAACTCCCCAAAATAGCTTTCTGTTTGTGGCGATGGCAGGAGAACAGTCTTCACTTAGCATGGGAAGACGGCTTGCTGCTAAATGAAATAGCCAATCATAGTAGAGCCATTCTGTGCTAAGAAAGACATGATCATCCTAGGTCATCCTAGGATTGCAAATGATGCTTCAAGCGTTACTACAGCATTACATGGGAGCCAGTCCGCATGTTGGCTGCCGCAGGAAACAGGAACAGCCAACCGCCTGCTCTAGCAACTTGTCTCGGGCAGGAGACAGAAGACAGGCATCAGCTCAAGTTCCTTATCCAGCCAGCAGTCCCACTAACATGTTTGAACAAGCAGTTAAATGACAGCATACCCCCCCACCCCCATTGAACCAGCGAAATAAAGTACAGAAATATCATTTTACTTACGATAAAAAGAAGCAGAAACTGCTTGGATGATCTTTTAGCGCAGTCAACAACCACAGCTTGCCCTTTTTGTCCAAGTAATTCCATGATTAACATCCAAACACAGACACAGACAAAGCTAAAGTTCAGAGAGTCGAAATGGTCGAACATCTATTAACGTGAGGCCCAGGTCCAGGCTGAGGCCTTTCTCCGGAGCTAGCTCTTAAGTCACGTGACTCTGGTGCTAATTAATTACTCAGAATTTTAAGCATTTCATTCCACTTAAAAAAAAGTTACCAAAAATTTGCCCCCTCAGGGTTGTCATGAATATAAACTAGATCTATTCAACCTAAAATGGTTTTGGAACTAGGCTGTAAACATGTTTGCTGTGAAATTGGTATTTTAACAAGTCAATGAGGATTTGCTCACTTCTGGTGCCACCCCCTGGTGGATGAGGCTGGAACTGCAATTTAGCCCCTCCTCCTTGGCTTCAAAAAATGTAGACCATAATGGCCCCTTGTTTCAGCCTCATTGACTTGCATTGATTTGCATCCATGTTTTATTTATTATTATTATATTTTCTTTCGTTCTTCCAGGGCCCATGGTCCGGAAGTAGATGTACGTAACTTGGCCTCCCTATTGAGTCAGTGATGGTCGCATTGCTGTTAGCCAATCAGAGGAGAGATGGCCAAATATCAGGAAACAAGACTCCAGATCCCGTCGCCTGAAGCCAAGCCACGTTTGCTTTCCCCATTAGCGGGTTGCTTTTCTACTCATAACTAAAAACTTTGGATCATATTTGAGAATATAAACTTTATTTCAAGTAGTCAGTGCTTTTGCAGATGAAGCCATTTTTCTTTTCAGACTGAAAATAAGATCTAAAACCAAGCCTTTTGTTACCGTCTTGAAAATCTGTTTTAGCAGTGTATTAAAAAATCTAGATGTGAAGTCAGATTTATGCATCCAGTTCAGTCTTATATTACAAGATTCAGCAAATAAATGAATGATTTAAAGTCGGGCACATCCATGGGCAGCCCAGTGCTGCTGCCAAGTTTTATTGGACTGTATATTTACATCACTGAAAGAGATCTGCTTTAAACATTTTAGTCAAGTGGCATTTGTTTTTATTTACCTGTTTTGTATATTTAATTCATGAATTTGTTTGATTAACTAATTGATTAACATGCTGGCTGACCATAACCTCTACATATCGGCATCGGCATCGACAATAGAAAACCCCATATCTGTCTAAGTCTACGTTCAACCAGAGGAAACTTACTGCAGAGCCTGATTTGAGGTTTTTGAGGACGGAAGAAGGACAGACACGATGGACTCGATGTTTGGTGTCAGTCATTATTTTAGAGTTGGGTTTTAGCAGATCTTTCTGTTCTGTTGTAGGAAATCTCTGTCAGGTCGCCAGGTGAGGGTTTCGTGTGAGAAGAAACCCGAGAAGTCCAAATGCAAACAACAAAGCAAATGCATCAAACTCATAAAAGTTTTCTTTGAAAGACAAACATTTAATTTGTCGTTGCGTACGTGAAAAACCACCAGAGCTGACGAGGACTGGGAGGAGGAAGAGAGGAGGCCTTTGAGCATCCAGAGACGGGTCAAGAGGAGATGAAAGGAGGAGCGAGGAAGAAAGAGGGGCCACACGTTCATCATTCTGAGCCTGTGTGATCACAAGGCCCAGCAGCAAAACCGTACAACAATGGCCCCTGTGTGTGTGTGTGTGTGTGTGTGTGTGTGTGTGTGTGTGTGTGTGTGTGTGTGTGTGTTATCTCCGATAAGGCGGGCTACGCTTCCGTCTCTTCTCAGCTTCTCTGCATCTCCTCTCTCTTCTCATGCCTCTGCTGCTGGTGCTCCTTCGTGCCTCCTCTCCTGCTCTCTTTGTCCTGGGTCCTCGGAGGCCTCTCCTAAGATGAAAGGGAGGTGAGATAAGGGCAGGTAAGGGAGTGCAGGAAGGGAAAACGGCAGAAGGGAAAGTGATAAGGAGGAAAACAATGAGGGCTTTGATGGCATGTGAGCTGCTGTGTGTGTGTGTGTGTGTGTGTGTGTGTGTGTGTGTGTGTGTGTGTGTGTGTGTGTGTGTGTGTGTGTGTGTGTGTGTGTGTGTGTGTGTGTGTGTGTGTGTGTGTGTATGTGTGTGTGTGTGTGTGTATGTGTATGTATGTAATTTTGCCTGCACAGGTAGCTTTTTATGAGAAGAGTTTTGCTACTTTCTGCAATTTAGGCTGCACCGATGAGCTCATATCAGAAACAAATGACTTCCTGTTCACTTTTTGACCTTTCCATTGATCCATTTCTACACCTATTTCACTTTTAGCACAAAATAATCTCTCAAATTCACCTGTTTCTCCCATTCTGAAGCTCAGCAACCTCCTTCTTCTGTCTCTGTTGGGTTTGGATTTCCAACCTGCACTGTTTTAGTCATTACGGCTTCACCCACCACACAAAACGTCCATTTTTGGCCCAAAACATTCACCTGCCACCACGTTGTGTGTGTGTGTGTGTTGTAGCCTCGTGTGAAAAGATGCCTAGCTTTCCCAGAAGGGTCATTAAAATTTTATCTCATTCGAATATGAGTGAGAAGGTGTGAGGGCGGGTGTTTGCATATACAGCAGATGCTCGCCAGGACTCCGACTGCGGGAAAAAAAATCCTGGATTAGAACCAAAATAATGAATAGGAGGTTTGTGTCACAATATATTTTCCCTTCAGCAAATGCTTCGTCAGACTTTGTTGTGTCCCATAGAAGATATTGCCCACAAACCTTTGTGCAAAAAGCCAAATATAATCAGTTTTTCAATTAAATCTGCTATTTAACTCTAATGTGTGTTTGTGCTTAAAATTAGTATTAGGGGAGGGGGGGGGGGGGGGGGGTTTCAGATGAAATCAAACTTCAGCAAGGCCTCTGGACTGAACTTTCCACATGGGATTGCCAACTTTTAACCAGGGAGCTCCTTTTCGCCCTCTGGTGTTTCATCAGGACTCATTTACCTCAAACCTGTCAGGGCTGTGCAGTTCCTGTGTTGGCCAACAGGAGGCAGCAGAAGCTCAAATAGGTCCAATCGTTCTGGAGGCTTGACTGTGGATGATGGTCAACAGGGGGCGATGTTCTACTGCAGCTGAAGTTGGATTTAGTCTCAAACGTGCACATTCATGCAGAAATATTAATTTCATCACATAAGCTCCACGTTGAACAAGGAAGGCAACAGCTGATGTTCTAATTTAATATTTATTACATGTCTAAGCAGTGAATGATGTGTGACACCCACACATTTGTTTATAATAAAGTGAGTGTTTATAGGACACCTGACAGATCTAGTTAGCTTTTGTGAAGTCTAAGTAAAACCTCAAAGGTTTTGAAGCATGTTTTTGTGGAATATCATAGGAACCTCTATGAAGGGCCTCAGTTTGAATAAAGACAGATTAGACCAAACCAGACTGAGTGAGATCTGTTACAAGTGTCTGAATACAAATTGTATTGTAGTTCATGCTAATTACACTTTATAGGCATTTGCAGCTGCATCATAATTCCACATCTTGTGCTTACCTGAGCAGAAATTAGCTGTTAAGCTAGCTACTTAAGCTCTTCAAGTGAGTGTAATAATTCTTCTGGCGGAACAACCATCAAATATGACGAAGGTAGGGTTCATAAAAGCATTTGTTAAACATTCTATGACTTCTTGGCAAACAAGAATTATTTTCAGACCCCTTTAAACAGCCCCTATTGTTATCTGGTCAATTAGAAACAACCAGTTTTGACCCTCTTTCCGTCATTCTTCCCCACATCTCTCCAACATGCGGATTTAATATAAGAAAAATAAATCTTGAGGATTATTTTGTCAACTTAAAGGTGTAATTTGTAAGAATGACACCCTGTGGTTAAATGTGGTTACTGCAGTCCGTTTTTAAAGGTGTGGTTCTCTGAAAAACTATTTTAAAAGTTTCTGTCATTCTGAGTTTTTCATGCAGGCTAAACATGAAAACAGTCTTCTACACCTATCTCCTGCTTTAGCTTCTGATAGGAAATAGACAGTTAAAATCTGGGATTTGAAAAGCCCGACAGATCTATGTAACACTGTGAATTAGCATTCATAGACTCACCAATCTTGACTTATGATGAGGAAGGCTGTTGTTTTAACAGCAGCAGATGTCTAGGCTAGTTTAGGCTAACACTAGCATTAGCAACTTCACCACACGGCAGAAGATTCTCCAGATTTGTCTTATTTGCAATGATAAAACATTCATGTTGCAAGTCAGTGATAGTTGCGTTGCTGTTGAGATGTCCAAACATCAGGAAGTGAGACTCAATAACCTGCCGTCTGAAGCTCACCTGTGATGTGGGCAACGTTTACGTGCAAAACATACGTTTTTGGTGAATTCCGAAGGTACATTGCGGCTAGCAAGCGGTGATTTAAATACGCCACTGCTATGTGGCCGCGGGTTTTAGTCAGCTGTTGGTAAAATACCATTGAAAATTCATAACTTCTCTTGGCGACGTAAGCTTCAGCTGCATCTTCCCCTGATTCTGGTTAGGCTGACAGACTCCACTCACCACGTTGCTCCCCTGAAGCTAACACTGTTGAGCTCCTCGATGACATCATCAGCAAGCACATCCGGTTAGCCTGTTGTCTATACTTTTAAGTAATATGCCAAAATCACACCGGTTATATGTATACCCTTTAAACCTTGCGTTACTAATAAATTGTCATGTCTGATGTTAGCACTCTTGGGTGTTTGACAGTAGAGGGCACTCACTACACTTATTATGGCAGTTTATCCCCAGCGTCAAGGGAAGTGCGGTTGTTTGCCATCTTGCTGTTATAGTACTGAACGAGTCATTAAAGGAAGTAAAACGTCACGATTGACTCACTGTTCACTTCACACACGCATTTCACTGTAACATTGAGTTTTTGGTGGTAGATAAAGTAGTTTGAGATATTTGCTTCTAATTCATCGTTAGCATTGTTCGCTCAATGTTAGCCTCTAGCGTGCTTCACCCAATATTAAAATAAAAAGCAAAAACATGCCATGGATTCTTAGGGGTACAAGAAATAACTTCTGGGTCGCTCCTGGTTACTGGCTTTGGTTCTGCAGCGTTTGCTCAGTGTAGACTCAGCAACCACACAAACTCGCAGATTATAAAGATTAACTATGTATGTTAAATGGCCTGTATTTGTGTAGCGCCTTCTTAGGGTTCTACAACCCCCCAAGGCGCTTCACAACACAATCAGTCACTCACCCATTCACACACTGGTGATGTTGAGCTACAATGTAGCCACAACTGCTCTGGGACGCACTGACAGAGGCGAGTCTGCCGAACATTGGCGCCACCGTTCCCTCCGACCACCACCAGCAGGCCAGGTGGGTTAAGTGTCTTGCCCAAAGACACAACAGCAACATGCTCTGGTCAGATCTGGGATCGAACCTGCAACTTTCTGATAACTGGACAACCCGCTCTACCTCCTGAGCTACTGCACTCAATGTAACCTTCCCTCCAAACTGATTGAGACGTTAGACTGTTTTGCTATTATTTTACCGTTGAATTCCTACAAATTGCACCTTTAAAGGAAAACAATGTGTGTTTTCCTTCTTTAAGGTCTACAACTAATTTATTGTTTTGTTCCTTCAAATTAGATAAATTTTTTGATAATAACTTTTTAAAACAATTAAAGTTTTGAACATAAGTTCGTTCTTGGCAACAAGTGCTGCTTCTACAACTTTTCCTCCTTTGTAGTCACCTCCTTCCTGTTCTTTTGTTGTCATTCCTGTCATATCTATGACTCCTGCTGCTCCTCAGCCCGACCATTTTACTGATGACTCTGCAATCTCCTTTCCTCCAAACTCTCGCTAAGTCAAAAGAGGCTTCCACTGCTCCCATCTTCCCAGACGTCTGGTTTCACTCTGAACCTGACGGTGCACTCACTCTGTTTTCCAGAATTCCCATCCCACGTGCAAGCTTAAAACACAGCGTTCCCAGGTAAAATACCAGTGAAACTCCAAATCCAAAAGAATGAATTGTTTGTCTCTTGATGTGGTTTAGCATTTACCAGCGACTCTCGGGCTGCATGATGGGTCACACGCTTCAGTTTGAGAGTGGCTGATTGCACCCTGGCTTGACCGGCTGTTTGGGTCGCGTGAGGAAATCTTGGAAGGAGGTCACGTCTCCATCCCTGTTCCTCACATAAATCCACTCGTGATGAAAACAAACGCTCTGGAGCACACCCCAAACTCAACAAAACACCTAAAAACAAAAGTGACAGTATTTACTTGAGCTTTTGTTTAAAAGTGTGCAACGTCCGTGAAACGTCACGATAAAGGAGATGATGTTGAAGAAGTTGATGACAATTTGCTGCTGCATGTGAGTGATGATCCCTGTTGACAAGCCTAGCATTAGAGGAAATTTATCGAGCCCCCTGGAGGGAAGAAGGTCCTCCCAGATCTACTAACAGCTGCACTTTGTTAATGGTATGCAATTCATGAGACATACACGGGTCTTGTGTGTTTCTTTGAGGATAAATGGGTTCATCAAGTGTTTTTCACTGCAGTTTGACCCAAAGAAAACTCTGTGAATAAAGGGAAAGGATACAAGGACATTAAAACAAGGGTTTACCATTTAGAGAGTAAAATATTTTATTAGGATTATCTTCCTTGAGTTATTTTACACAACTAAATAGTAACAGTGGGTCCTGAAATACGCTCGTCCATGTGGTAGTGACTCAATAGTAGAGGTGTCACCAAGTCACTGCTTTACAAGTCACAAGTAAGTCAAAAGTCTTAACAGTCAAGTCTCGAGTCAAGTCAAAGACAATCAAGTCCAAGTCAAGCCCAAAGTCAGTGATGTGGAAGTCCAAGTCCTTAACTTTGGATTTTCAAGTCATAATCAAGTCATCGGTCCAACTTCAATTTATTGACAATGATAATTAATAATTGCACAATGCCACAATGAACTATGAAAGAACGGATAACGCTCGAAATGTGCAGATTTTTCCTGATGTAAGAGGTGAGTCTCCTCCTTGTTTTGGTAGTTTTTGTGTTGACGTCATCATAGCGCGCAATGTTCTGTGACTTAAAAAAACTGTGAAAAGGCTGAAAAACGCTGGCAGTGAATGAGTTAAGTGTGACAAAAGTGGCAAAACCATGGAGAAGAGGAGCAGACTGAAAGCAAGCTCAAGTAAATGACAAATCACACCGTCACTCTGTCATCTTCAACCAGCTTACATCTCATCATGGTCACAGCAGTCCACAGTGAGAACCTTTGTTTCCTTTGCGCCAGCAATGGCCCAAAGGGTCAAGAGGGTTCATCATTATGTTTGGGAACAATGATCAACAGTTCACAGTGGTTCTATGTGGAGTTCCTCAATGAGGTCTGACAACAGCCTTTAGTGTCGATAAAGTTTTGGGAGTGATGAGAGTGTTTCCTTTCCCTCCGAAGCGACTGATGACATCATGGGAATCCCCAGGAGGAGTCAACAAAGCTTCTGAGTGGAGGTAATGTCAAAAGTATAAAAACCTAGATCACATTGGTTCCTAAACTCACATAAACATCAACACATGGTAACATTTATTTTTATCTTTAATGTTTTCATTTAAATACCTTAGAGTTTAGCTGGAGTTCAGATTCATTTCATGTTGTTGCAGGCTGTGGGACAAACAGGGTCTGCAGATGCAAAAAAACCTTTAAATACTGAAAACTTTCTACAAAAAAAACATAAATCATATTGATTAGTTAACACTTGGAAAGTGAAGGTTTTTGGTCATGATCACCATTTGATCTCCATCCTCTGGTTGGACGGTGTATCTTTTCGCAGTGGAGACGACATTCTGGGATACAAAGGTATCCTTGTAACTGGGGATGTTCTGATCACGTTTATTTGCTTCCGACCCGATTCAAAGTCATTTGATTTTGAGTATCTGCCGATACCGAGTCCCGATCCCATACTTTTCAGAAAAGCATTCAAATAATAAGAAAAAAGAAGTAGTTTTTAGCAAAGCAGTAAAATAAGAAAAAGAGGAGGGAATTTTAAAAAAAAAGCATTCAAATAAGAAGAAAACATCCAAATTGTCCTTTAAGTTTCACTTTCTTTTTTTAGGAAGTACATCGATGAAAATTTTGTTTATATTGTGAATATACTTAAAAGTAGCAGTGTTGCTCTTATTTGGAGTTGTTTACTCCCTCAATATGCAGCTGTGAACCGCGTTCACGTGACGGAGCAGGCAGGCGGAGCGTTCAGCAGGCAGGGTAACTTTTCTCTGCATACCACCTGAGCTCTGAGAGCAGGGTCCCGTCAGCCGTGGGGCGTATTGAGCTGGTGCTGCAGGAGAACTAGAAACCCCGATGTTTAGCAGTCTGTTAGAAATTTCTCTTTGTTCACTGGCGTAACTTTTACGTTTAAGTGAAAACAACTGTGCTTTTCTGGTTTTTGTAGACATTTAGCCTTTCATCCAAGAAGCTTATGAACTCTTTCTTTGTAGAAAACATTGATGACTTTTGGGGTTTTCTTATTAACCCTGTCAGGCTCAAACAGGGCTGGACTGGGACAAAAATTCAGCCCGGGCATTTTGATTGGAGACCGGCCCATCACCTGTTTTTTTTTTGGAAAAGACATTAAGCCTTACGCTGTTTCTGACACACCAACGTACACTTTCTTATTGGTAGTATTTATGTATCAATCTAATAAACGTAAACCTACACCATCCTTCCTATCCTGGTATTCTAAAAAAGTAGGGTTGGGGGTAAATGATTATTTTTAAAATGATTATTCTGACGATTATTTTATCGAATAGTCAACTATTCTAATGACTATTTAGATGATTAATCTAGCGATTATTTTTCTATTGCACAATTAATAAAAACCAAAAAAATCTTAAATAAATTCCTCCAAAAAATTGATAAATTGTTACTGTAAGAGAATAAACACTACAGGCCTTCCATTTTGTATAACACTGCTTTTATTGTGTTGCGGTTGTTTATGTTCTGGTGACGTGTAGAACTTGGGAGTGCAGGCTGCTGCCTGAGAGGTGGTTGGAGACGGAGTGTCTCCATGCTGCTTTGTTTTGGTCACTTATGTGCATGAGGCAAGTGGTGTTACGACCCTTCCTGGGGAGTCAAGTGTAAAGGGTTAAATTTACCTAAATATTACCTTATTTATTATCTCTTGATGTTATTAGTCCCTATTTCTGTGGTTAATTGACAATAGTTTCCTGAAATGTTTCTCCTATTTTAACTTTAAATCCTTCTAGCTGTTATATTTATAACAAGAAACAGATATTCGGACGGAATATTTTCATGTTTATTCGAATATGATTGTGGAAGACACCCAGCATCATAATAAATGAAGTAATATTTATGCCAATTTAAGCCTTTATGGGTGACCAGGACACTGTGATCAATTTTTGGCAAGGGAAATTATCATTTGTTGCCATTTTTGAGGTGTTTATGAATGTGGAAGACACCCAGCATCCTGTGATGGCACTAATAACATCAAGAGATAATAAAGTAATATTTAGGTAAATTTAACCCTTTACAGGTGACCAGGACACTGTAATGAATTTTTGGCAAGGGAAATGATCATTTGTTGCCATTTTTGAGGTGTTTATGAAGAGACCCAGCAACCTGTGATGGCACTAATAACATCAAGAGATAATAAATAAGGTAATATTTAGGTAAATGTAACCCTTTACAGGTGACCAGGACACTGTAATCAATTTTTGGCAAGGGAAATTATCTTTTTTTTTTGTTGTTGCCATTTTTGGGGTGTTTATGATGATACAGTAGGCAGTATGAGTACAGTAACATCAACAGATAATACATAAAACCCTTATTTGGTCAATTTTAGCCTCCATGAAAATCTTAGTGATTCAATCACTTTTTGGCAAGTAAAATGCCATTTTAGTTGTCTACAATTAAATCATCAATAAAGAATTTAAAGATATTTTGAGGCATTTCTTATAGGTAAACGGGAGGGTGTAGTCTATTTGGCAAGTGACCAATCTTAATTTTATGTGCTGAAGTGCTTTTATCTTGTTACTTTTAAATAGAGCAACGTAATGTATAGATAGCAACCTACACAGTGTCATTGTAAAGCCAAAGCTTGATCAGTTTAAATACTATTTTTCCAAGTAAAAATGTGCCCCAAACTAGTTAACTGTGGCTCCATGTCAAGTGGACTAAAGAAAGGAAGGGGAAAAAATTAAATCGCTGGAGAATTGTTTATTTACATTTATACAACGTTTACATTAAATACAGGGCGCCATTTTACATTGTTTATTTATTTTTTTAGTATCAAGGCTGTAACATAAAGAAAGCCAGTTCTTACCACAAACCATCTTTCAATCGCAAATATTGCAAAAAGGATTAATATATCCTCATTGTGAACGTTTAAGACAAATAGCAACACTTAAAACAACTTCCGAACTGGAAAAACTAACGTGGCAAGGTGGATAAACGACAGCCCGGGTTGTATTCGATCCACAGACCTCTGGGGTGAGAGTCATACGCTCTAACCAGTCAGCCAAAGGAACATCCCCTTGACCAACTATCCAGGGTGCAAGATCAATCAAGACATTGTGACAGGATGCTCACACTGCCACATCTTCCTCCCTCTTTCCACAAGCACGTCCTCGTGCTCCCGCGCAGGGTGCCACAAACACTGCCACACTAATATCCGCGATAAACATCTGTTTAAGTACCGGAAGAGGTTATCTTTGCTTTCTGAGTGTCCATATTGCTAGATATGCTGAGTTTTAGGGCGAAATCCTGGGGAATTTTGTCTAGAAATGCAATTACCTAACCGTGCGCGATCCCGCGGTGGCTAATCATTTTTTGGCAGCGAGTCAATTTATGGCACAACACCGGCTCGGGTTTCTCCTCCTCCTCCCTCTTTTCTTCTCCAACCTGTCGCTGGGCTGAGGCTCCATCACTTCCTAAATTGATTTTACTTGAACCTTCACTACCAAACAACTGTGAGATTTTAACACATGTGCCAGCATCAGCCTGAAGGGCCAGTTTCTTTTTTAGTCGAATTTTCTCCGCTCCTGCTTTCCGTTTTTTGTTCTCCATTTTGTTAAGCTCGTCTGTTTACTGAGATTCACAAACAACTGGCGGGTGCATCAGACCTCTGGCTATTGGTCCAGCCCAGAGTGTATTATTACCAATTGGCCAATCCACCAACTTTTACGAGGCGTCGCGTGGGGCGGCGCGAACAAGTTGTCCGCAACAACTAGAGGCCAGGAA